GCAATCAAAGTTCCCCAGGGCTGCTGGTCTCAGTGCTCTTCCTTCTGCATTCAAGCCAGAAGCTCTTCTGTTATGCTCTAGGTCCAGTGCCTACAGCTACGTTTTTTTTCTGAGAAGATGTTCCTTTTTCCAGGATGGTTGTAATGGCAATTAGAGACCTCTTTTTGAACTTTTAACTTTTGGTAAAACATTCAATTGTAATGGCCAGATTATTTTACTGGAAGTGCCACTTGGCTTAGGGAGCTTGGCACTGTTGCCTTGCTGCAGTTTGGTACGTGTTTCTAAGGCTGGACAAAAAAATACAATACCTGTGTTGCATTTGCTTGATCGGAAGGAATGACCTAGTATACACTTTATTTCCTGTGAAAAGATTTGTGCAGTATTACTGTTGAGTGTTCATGGACACCTGGTAGATACAGAGGAACTTGATGTAGCCCTGAAATGACCAACAGCTGAAATATACAGGCTGCGTATTTAATACCACAGCACCTGTTGTTACATTCCAGCAAGGATAACAAATGGTGGCAAAGGAGTGAAATACCAAATTAAGTTCATGACCCTACTCTGTGTGACTGTAGTTTTCTCTGTTTAATATCCAACATATTTTAAAATATGCTTCTTTAAGAGCAGTCAACAGAAGTTAGTCTGATTTTTTTTTCTTATTAAAGCTGCAATGTTAATTAAAATACGTGCAGAGGGTCTAGGAAAAAGGGCTTTTAAAAAGGCTTTTGAAATTTCTAAATCAGCTACAGTATATGTATCATGTGATGCACAGGGTGGCTGTGGGAAGTACAGGCATGTAAAACCAGAATAACTTGTTGGCACAGACTGCTCTCATGGGACTGCAAAACTCTGCACTTACATTCCTGTTGGAAATAGCATCTTTCTTTGCCACACTCTCCAGCCTTAACCTCCAGGTACTTTTTTTGGCAATTCTTCTCACCTCTTGATCAAAAATGTATTTTGTTTTCTGTTTTTTCATGGTTTGTTTTTGTTTTTGCAGCTATAAAGTGGGTCATCTTTTGCTGTTGGTTAAATTTTGGACATTTTAATACACTTAAGGCTAGAATTAAATTACAAAATCAGGACGCATATAACAGTATCATATGTGTTTTGCAAACCTATTGACAATGACTTCTTTAGCACTTGAGTAAAAAAAGGTGTTCCCAACGGTGTTTGCTAGCTGTTCTTTTATCCTTCCCTGATATATGCTGGGGAATATGCTCACTTTCAGTATGAATATGCAGATTAGACATACTGTGTATTTCAAAAAATGCTTGATTAGCCAGATTTTTTTCCAAAATTGCTTGATTAACTGTTACTTCAGAGTGACTGGCAGCCTCAGAGCTGACTTCCAAATCCAGTAAGCCTGCTCATGCAATATTTGCCATGCATTAGGCTTGGCTTCAGATTGGGTACTTTTTCTTTTGAAGGTCTTCCAGTGTGAATGTTAAAATTAGTACACATTGCTTGACTAATTAACATTCTCATAGTATGCTCAGTTGGTAGAGATTATGGTGAGTGAGAATTTAGTACAATTTACTGTACCTATTAAGAGAACTGTAGGCAAAGGTTACTTACCTTTATGAACGAATGCTTTGTATGCATTGAATATTTTAGTTTAAACTGTTTTCTAGTTAAAAATTATATTCATATATAAATCTCCCTTTTTAAAAACAAGGTGCCAAATAAAATATTTGCTCTTCAAATAAGGACCTTGTGTACTTGAATCAAAAAAGTAGAGACATATGTGGAAGAAATAAGTACTGTTTAGGGCCTGTGTTTTGGGTTCTTTTTCTGCCTTCTCCACTTAGCCGTTTGCTCTCTGGGTTTTCCACTGCCTGATGTTGCTTGCCCAAGCTATCTGCCCTGTTGCAGTCCTTTTCTCAATAAACTCTGTGGCTGCCCTGGTCTCTTCTCACCCCTGCCATCAGCCAGCTTAGAAGTTGCAGTCCCAGTGTCTGAGGTTGAAGAGTGAAAGCTGTGAGAGCGCTGTCTGGTCTTGCATGTCTGGTACAAGCTTCAGTTTTCATCAGCTTTTGAAAAGCCAACAAGTGAACCAACGCTTGCAGATGCAGAGACCAGCCAGTGTGCTGAAGTGGCCCTCTGGAGACTGCTGTGTTTTTGGAATGATTTCTACATTGCAAGAACTTTATCTGTGCTTTTAAGAAGTTTAAATTTAACACATCTTTCACCCAGGAAACTTTGAAGCACTTAGATAAGAATCAAAACACTCTTTTCTTTAAAAAAAAAGAAAAAAAACAACACCAAAAAACGTTCTTTGAAACTGTGACTCACTCACTCAGATGGTTATTAAGAAGCTATAAATCATGGTGACAGCTAGAAAAATCAGCTTACCGTATTCATATCTGAAGAATTCATAGTCTGTGTCCTACTACTTATTTTTTAATCTTATCATCACGTAATACATTGTGAAAATTGTTACAGCCCTGGTAACAGGTTTATGACTCTCTTTCTGCCTGTTCTGTACCTCAGCACTTGTTCGTTCACTGATGCTAGCTCTTGCAGTTTATCACCGTTGGAGCTTTACCTTACTGAAGTCATGTGTTTGTACATGAAGTCATATATTTATATGCTTTAGTGTATTTGTTTTTTTAATGTTTCTGGCCTGTATCATTCCTGAAAACAAGGATAGCCCTGTAAAGACCCAGAAAGCAGAAGGCTCAAGAAAAAGTAAAAATTCAGTAATTTTTTTTTTCCCTTGATATCTAGGCAATCTCATGATTTTGGAGGTGCATGACTCATGGTCACATACACTCAGAGAGCATAGCACTGTCAATCCCGCTTGATTTCAAGTTGCCTGCCTCCAGGGAAATGATGCTCTCTCACTCCGGGAGTCTGACTGAACATGCAATGCGTACGGCGTGCGCGGGCTTTGAGCTGTAGCTCTCACCCGCAGTCTGTAGAGAGGCAAACACAGTTGTCGTCCACACAGGATGCCTGGCAGGAAATCAGTTGCCACATTTCTCAAAGCTATGTGATACAGTCTTTTAAATGCTGCCTGAAGCACTCAGTTGGTGCTGTCTCTTTCCTCCTAATCCCATGTAAGTGTTCTTTGTGCCTTGCCCAAAAACCCCTGTCATTTTTGGACCTTGCGTTCACCAGGTACTGTTGCAGTACATGGTATGCCAATCACTAAAATGAGAACTTGTTCTCACGCAGCAGCGTTGTTATTAATGGCTTCACAGTCACATTTTCTTTTCCTCCGGGACTGTTGTATCAATATACCTAGTACGTACGCTAGAAATGCAACTCATGTCAGAAAGCTCAACTCTTGACTTGACCATGGAATTTAACATGGTTCCCTGGAAGTTTTTACTGGATGCTTTTTTTCTGGTCCTTCTTTATCACAACAAGCTTAAAAATACTCAGTGACTCAAGTATTCATTGTCAATGTTCACAAGATTGAATACACTCAACTGCAAGTTACGTTGAATCTAGCATCAACTGTTACCTTGTGGAAAAAACATTCTGCCTTGATTTAAGGCAGTGAAATCATCTGATTCAACTTTTTTTTCCACATACTTCTTTTTTTTTTTTTTTTTTTTTTGTTAGTTTAAACAGAGTTGAGAAATAGGGTATTTGGTAATAGGCATTTGCCACAGTACAGAGGGGGGTGTACTAGCTTCCATGTCAGGGAAAAGTCAGCATCACAGCCATAAGTAGTAGCCTTCTTGTACTTTTATACCAGTTTCCTGAGAGCTTATTAACCCACAATTCTAAATTTTCACTGGAAGTTTATACTTCCACCACAGTTTTAAGGAAAACATGTGTAAGGTAAAATATTTTGGGGAAAACACATCCAGAATGCTACATGTCCAATATTTACTGACTTCAACACACAAGTGCTAAAGTCCCAAGATACTAATGTTAAACGGACATACTGTTGGTTGTGAAAATAAAGAAGTTTCATAATCAGTAAGCTCCCAACTTTCACAGGAGGCAGTCTCTAGCAACTTGTTTCCTCCTCTGAGTCATAAATTAGAAGACTTTGCAGATGTCCCCGTTATCCCTAAGATCCTGTGAATTTCGAAGTAATGGAGGCAGGATTTCCTCTGAGAGCCTTTCCCCTTGGACTGCTCTCCTCTGCGGAGGGGCAGCTCTACTGAACATAATCATGGTTATTTGTATAGATTGTACAGAAAATGACATCCCATTGATTTCAAAGGGGTATTTTTTGATGACACACTTTTAAAAAGTGAAGTGTAAAACTGCACAGGAGAGAAACAGGAACTATAAAAAGCAGTCATGAGGAAAAGCTATCTGTGAGATGCTTAAAATTAGTGGGATTACCTGCCCAAATTCTACTGCAGGCCCCCAGAGAAATGGCACTATTTCAGTTTAAAGAGCAAGAATGGGACCTGTCAATACAACAGGTCAGAGATTTATACATCCTGGCCAGCTACTGTAATCACTCTTAAAAGGTGACTACATACAATCAACCCTAAGAAAATGAGCCTGCTTTAAGTAATTGCCTAAATGTGGATTTACAGGCTTATTTTTAGGTGCTTGCGTCTGAACTTTTATTCAGAGGTTTGAAAGGGGATGCTCGGCTGTCCTCACACGCGAGTATCTGCATTTGCAGATGCCGGGTTAATGTTTTAACCTCTTCTTGACACATCCCCTGCCCTTTTGAGTCACAGGACCTTTCTTCTCCCTCCATTTCTGCTAATTGTTCCAGTTGTCAGTTAGCAATAACGGCTATTGGTGTTGCACTGCTTGCTCAGCAGTGCAATTTCCTTTCAGCTCTCTTTTCAAGGAAGTGAAACTACTGCGATGTATTTTTGCATTCTGAGGTGCCAAAGCAAAATGAAGCACTGCAGGCAGGAGGGAAAGGTAGCTGAGAAGAGCTGCTGTTATGGTGAGGGGGAAAAACCCACGTTCACTCTCTGATAGCTTCTGACAGCGTTTCAAAGCACACGATAAAGTGTGCGCTGGATTTAGTGGAGTAAATAAGCCTCGGGCCAGTCTTAACCTCGGGTATTTTGTCTCTTTTTCTGCTGTCAACATTAACAATTGCAATTCCGTTTGATGAACAAGTAAGTAATAATTTTACTGTTTTTTAAGGAAGTATGTATGTTCGGTCTGAAGGAGCTCTATAATCTTACTGCTTAAACTCAGTTTTATTTAAGCAATTGACTGTGAAATACATTTTAGGTCTTTCTGCCATCCATAGTGAGGAAAAATTCTGATTATAAAATACAGTTTGCAAGTTCCTCTTTGGATTGACTGAAATACTGAAGTATTAAATTACATATTTAGCAATTAAATTAGAACCCATGTAATAACACAGGGAAAATGAAGCTGACTTTTGGTGCATTGCAAAGTAGATAGAAAATAGGCTGTGCTGGGTAGTCCCAAAACTTGGACAGTTTTTAGAGAAATGCCATTAAGAATTTAACACCTTTTGTAAGTGAGCAGTTCCTGTCTTGCTTAGCGATGGTAATTACACATCGAGCTCCACTTTGTCAAATGTTAAATTACATAATGTAAGGGTTTTTTTGTTGAAAAACTGTAAAATTTTTAGAAAACTGCCTTGATTTCAGTTTCTTGAAATTGTTTCAGTTTCTTGAAATTGATACTTTGCAGGTTGTTATGTGTAAATTGTTAGAACCATACCTGAGCATTTGTGTGACTTACTGGAGGCAGGTTGTACAGATTTCTGTTCAATTACAGTGGAGCATTCTGTATGATATAGTTAGCATTTTATAAGAATACCTACAGCATCCTGGGAAAGAACATTTTAAAATATGTATATATGGTATTGTGGGGTTTTTTTCTCTGCAAATTTATGGAATATACTTTGAAACAGCGACTGCTATTAGTACGAACATCTGTATATCTTTGTGGAGTGTCAGAAAGAAGACATTGTGAGAAATTAGTAAACTGGAAGGCTTTAAGAAATAGAAGTTATGAAAGAACAATCAATATTCCTGTTCTGGAGGAAAAAAGCTATCATTCATCTGTAGATTGTTGTAAAGCATTGGCTGTTGAGTTCTAGTATTTGATCACCCTTTGAAATACTTTTATTAGTTTTGTTTGAATAGTAACAGTTGCAGTTTTGTATTTAAAAACACAAAAAGTGAATAAAATATTTTCAGTTCAGATTGACTGCTTAGCATCTTTAACGTCTTCCTGTATCTTTGTGGTTGAGAAATGTGCCTGTCTTGTGATCTTGAGTGCTTTGCCCAAGATATTTAACAATGGGTTCTTTGGTTTTTGAGTGTCCTCCTGTAGCAAAGATTTTAAAAAATGTGCTCAAACACTTGATACTTCAAAACAAAATACAGTTATGCACCGAAAGTCTTAAGAAACAAACCTGCTTGAAAGTTTCCGAGATGACAAAAAAGGAGCTTGTTACTAAGTTAAAAAGTCTAAAAGGTACCACTGAAGAAAAAATACAGATTTGTGTCTTGTGTCCTGAAGGACAAGTTCCTTCTATTTGCTGGAACCCCAGAGGCACCCTGCGTCTGAACACACCCAGCTGCCCAAATACAAACAGTTAAGAGGAAACCTTTTCCAAATTCAGGGACTTACAGTTTGGCATCTGCAGAGTTTATGTTTTCGTTAAAAGAAAAAAAAAAAGTTTCCAGACCCAGTGTTTGCAAAGCAAACCCTCCATCTGTGAAGTAAATGTAAACAGATGAAGCTTTCCTTCAGCCTGAGACTCCAGGAAAGCTGCAGCGTAAAGGCAGCCGTCCCCCCGACTGTTCAACCTGGAAATATGAATTCACGTGTGATTTAGTGGAGAAGATGCTGCAAAGGGCATATGCTATAAACAGTGGTCACTGGCAACAGAACATGAGCAGTAACATTTCACAAAACAAGTCTCTGAAAGAATGTTTGGGGTATTTAAGTGTGTGAAGAAATTACAAACCAGTCATTGGGTATATTGGTGCAAGCAAGCATAGTTTTGGAGGTGCAAATCTGTTCTAGGATCTATTTTATTGGTCACAGAAGGATTTCTTTATAAGGTTATGCTAGCAAGTGTTATGGCAATCCCTAGACTGTTCATTTTTGGCTATTTCTGCATTAAGTATAGGACATAGAAGTGTTAATCTATACTTGCTTTCCTTCTGAAAACTAGCATCTTCAGATTGCACCCAGAGAATCTCAGTATTGTTTGCCGACAAAGGATTTTTGTGTTTGTATTATATTTTTTTATATATATATATATATAAAACCAGTTT